GCATACATTAGCCACCATAAGCTACTGGTAATACTAGATGGAGTATGTCTGCAGTAGCAAAACTCCTGACTATATTAAAATTAGCAGGAGCTTATAATGCAACTTTTTATTGGTAAGAAGAACAATGTGTTTTTTCTTCTTTTAAAAGTTACACAGTCTCACTTTAAGGAGGATACTTACATTATGCCTAATGGGTGGATGCTGTGACAACTTTTATCACCTACAAGCAGAAACTCCCAGAAATGGCACTTTGCATTTCCTATCACTTCCCTCCACTCTTGAGAAGACAGCATCATGAGGTGCACTTACTGAGCTTAAATGTTGAGTAGCAGAAGCACAAGTAGAGAAAAACCATAACATGAGCAAACTGATGAAGAAATGTATCACGTACGCAGCAGTATCTGTTTTTGGTTTGCTAGCATTAGCCACTACAAGCTACTTCTACCAGAACAAGTAAAGCTGTTGCAGCAGAGATCCTGGGTGTGCTAAATTTAGCAAGGTTACATTTTCATTGCTCATGATCTCAACTTCTCAGGTCTCATTTCTAAAGATTAAGATTGTGCCATTTCTTCTTTCATAAGTTACATAGTCTCACTTTAAACCCACGTTAACTGATTTTTTTTTGTCATAAGCAGACTGTTGCTTATTTAGGCATCCAGCTGTTACGGAGCAACATTAATGTTCATTTAGAGTTGTGTAAAAGTTACGAGCCAGACGACTATGATGAGCTGAAACTTAACAGCACATTATCACATGGTTTTCAGGCTGTCAGTTCATGCATTGTTATTATAGATAAATCAATTGCAGCCGCTTTAATTTCACATCTTATTTTGTCTGGGAAGGCACTCCATAAACATATATATAGATATAAAGAGCGGGGTCCAAAGGTCACATCTCCGTGAATGGAAAAGTGGTCTCAGACTTATTATTACCAAAGGACACCCCACCATCCCTCCGTCCGTGCTGTCATTTCCCCCCTCTCTCCTCTCAACTTAAGATTCAACTCAAAACATTTCATGAGAGTTTCCCACTGGGGTTTGTGCAGTGACATCATTGCAAACATGCAACATGCTCTGAGCCGGCTGAAGTCAATAGTCATGGGGAAAGCATCTCCCATAATCTGGGGTCTGTGGGGCCCCCTAATTGCTTTATGTAATAATATGCTGCAGTGATGCGCTCTTCTGGGAGCCATGAATGTAAATGCTCCCCCTCCTCATCATCTCCTTCCTTCATTAAAACATAACGTCAGCACCATGCCAACAAAGGGACAATTCACAGAGGCTGGGAGCCCGGTTGGTACACATAGTGCAGCGTTGAAGGACTGATCAAACATTCAAATGTTCCCTTTGGATATTATTAGTAACCCGTGATCTGGTGTTTATTTCATATTTATATGTTTATCCAGGCAAGTCGATTAAGGACAAATCCTTATTCACGATGACAGAAACAATTTACAGAAACAATGAGTATCATTACAGTTAAATAATAATGATGTGTCTAAATCTGTCAAAGAGTGACGTAGCTCGGGGATAAGCTGCTCAGACACGTGAGGACTTGGACACAGTAAATGGGACAACAGATAAGGTTGCAGAAACGAGGACACCATTAAAGCAAATAATGATGCTGAAAACTAAGCAAACATCCACCAACATAAATTAAAGACAGTTTTATTTTCGTACAAGTATTTATATGATTGTATTCCCCTTGACGCTGCCACATTTAAAATGAGTTCATCTACAAAATAAACATCTGTGTTGGGTAAAACTGGGAGAAATCAGCAGTATGTCAGGGCGACAACTAAGCATTATTTTTGTTATCGATTACTTTGATGATTATTTTTGTGATTAATAGAGTAATTGTTTGGTCCAAAATATGTTGACAATAATTGAAATGGCCATTTGAATTTGTGAGATCCAAAGTGGCGGTTGTTTGCTCCGACAGAACAGTTTAAAATCACATAAAACAAGGAAAATCAGCAAATCATCAGGTAATCTTTTGTATCTTGACTTAAAACACTTGACCGATTATCAAAATAGTGCAGAATAGTTATTTTTTTTCCTGTTGATTAAATACTTGCTTAATTGCCTATTTCTTCAGCTCTAGCCAGAGTCAGAAAAGAAAGGAAAGAGAAGCGAGTGTTTGACTAAAGGAGAAAAGAGCAGCGGAAAGAGCGGTTCAGCTCTGCAGTATCACGTGAAATGTCTTAAATTAGCCAATGAGTCTCACTCCATGTTCAACTGGAAAAAGGAAAACCCCACGGATATCTCCTCACAGAACAGCCAATTGGAAGAGATGGCACAGTGAAGCAGAGAGTCAGGCCAGCCATCATCCCTCAAAGTCATCCTTATTCTCAGCACTCTCTCAGCCTAAACAAGCAGACAGCTGATTCTTCTCAGGGTGGCCCCGAGTTTAAACACTGGTGCAGAGAGAGACTGGAGCGTCAGGAGAGGATCCACAGCTGCTGTCGAATGACAACCTCATACAGGGGGGGTGGGGGGTCAACTATTTATCTGGAAAGATAATGAGGCGTATTCTCATCACAATATATTTAAAAAGAAGAAAAAAAAGGGCCACATGGTCACCATACACTGCTAAATAATCTGGGAAGTAAACCATGTGAACATTTAAGTTAGGGAACTACAAAAGTGGCATTGCAGCTTTAAACATCTCTCGTGGATTGAAATCCTGCAGTAACCAGCAGAGGGCAGACTTGCAGTTAAAGAGGAACAAGACCTTCTGACAGTAATTGGATCACTGTAACTTGTTGCCCTAATGCATTTTGTGGTCCATTAGTAAATCTAATTTCACTTCATCATTAAGCTTGCAGGCATTGTGCCTTTAAAGTCCCATCATTTATGGATTTATCCGTTTAGAGTCATAATGTATCTGCATTTGATTTTGTGTGTGAGAGCGAGAGAAATAGAAACAGAGTTAAGTGTCACAAGACTGATATGGCACATGTGGTGTGGATCAGGATTCATAAAACAGAGTGACGTCCAATGTGATCTGTAAATTATTGTCATGCTGGAGGTGCTGAAGAACTTCTAACGTTTCGGCTTTGAATTGTTTTCCACTCAGCCTTTTTTTTTTCTTTTCTTTTTTTTGAGTCTGAACACATGTTGACCATCACGCTTTCTTCCAGAGGCGGCTGCATTCTTGACCTAAAAAGTCCTCACAGTTGGTTTTCATAATCACACTGCCACACAGCTGACAGCAAGATGAGACCTTGTTTTCTGGGCCTTTTTGGACATCTATCACTGTGCAGAGCTCACCCTTCATTTGGGAGCTTAAAAACACCTGAGTGTTTTCTTTGCAACTATTGGAAACAGGCCTTTCCATTTTCCAATTTCATACATTATTATTGTGTGATATTTTGACAAATGTCAAGTTTCTTTCTTTCAACTGAGAGATTATACTCAACATTATATCGTCCACTCAATTCAAGATGTAACCTTCATTCATTACATAGCACAGTACACTATGTGCTCTTTCCATGAATTGTTCAGTCGCACAAAGATTCAAATCATCTTCTTTTGTGGGGAATAAAAAGATAGTGTGTCTGTGTTCTTTCAGGACACAGTGTGCTTTATTTGCAGACACATAATGAACGCTCTCACACGCTGAAAAGGAAAGGTCTGAGACGTGTTCTCCAGGAACGGTTCTGCATGCAAGTTTCACAATAGACTTTTTTTATTCCGAACAGAGAACGACTGAAAAATAACTGCCTTCCTCTGCAGTGAATAACAGCAACAGTTTGTTTAAAAGAAGAATAAAAGATCTCTGCCAATTGCAAAGAGCATAATAAAGCTGATGCGTCTCAATAAATGCACGATGAATCATAAGCTCGCTCGCCATTGTAACGTCTCAAACCGGCCACAAATTTAACTTTCTGTAGATAGAAATCATGTCAAATTGCTTGTAAACATTTTGAGGTTTGTAAAATGCCTGAAATGATGTGTGATTAGCTTGTCAGGCCTGTAGTGATGAGCACAACGGCTCTGGAGATCAAAGGCAAGTTAATTGAAGACCCATCTGTCTAAAGACTGGTGCAGTTATGTGTTGTGCACATGAACTGCCTTGTGTATAACTGAGCAAAGTATTGATTCAATTTCTAAAGAGATATGAGGACAGAGATAGATAGATATATAGATAGATAGATATATAGATAGATACATAGATAGATAGATAGATAGATAGATAGATAGATAGATAGATAGTAAAAGTTGATTTTCTTGTTGGTAAACGTTCCTTATTCCTGTCAGAACAGAATGCATCAAGAAAAAGGAAAATAAACTTTGCACAGCTCGTTTAAAGTGAGATGTTGCAAACAGTTAGCCTAACTACATTGTAAACTGTAGGGGAGCATATCGGAATCTGATTGAAAAATTAGCCCGGTTAAATCATGAAGCGTCCTGAGGAGGGTAGTGTTTGTTTTAAGGTGGCACCACAGCGAAAAACGTGTCAAACTCGGGAAAAAATGCCGCCGGACCGCCCGGGATTTCAACAGTGGCTGAAAATGTAGTCCCCGGTTCATAGTCAAGACGGTAAAACTGAAATAACTCAACCTTAAACGCGTAACTTGATGATTTTTCAAACAATAAGTTCCCCCCGTCGCTGCTCAGCGAAGTCCGCGGTGCCTCCTTAACTGAGTGCTGGCACTTCAGAATGGGGAGTGCAAGGGAGAGGGTCAGAAAGATTGGTGGGTGGGGATATAACCCTTTTGAGAGAGAGGAAAAAAAAAAAACTAAAAAAAAAAAAAAAAAATCACGTGTTTGGAGATCAAAGGAGATCCGCTTTGTAGAGGAGGAGGAGGAGGGGGAGGAGGAGAGCGGGGGGGTGAGAAAGAAAGAGGGAGAGAGGGAGGGAGAAAGAGAGAGAGGGAGCGTTTGCAGGCAATGTAATTGACAAGGCTTGCAGTGGTGAAATAACACGCTTCAGCCCAGGCTCAGCTCTTATTGCACAATTCTGATTCTTTTGACGCATCGCCCGTAGCGCGCATAGACCTGGTTTCAATTACCTTCACCCGATTAATTAATCCGTGTGAAATTATGTCCCGATCGGCGCAGATCCAGCCGGCAAGATGATGATTTTACCAAGGAGAGGCTCAGATCGCGTACCCGACTCGGTGGTCCTGGTGATCTTGGTGGTCGCCGCTTCTCTTGGTACCGTTTTCGCCAAGGACACTGCCTTTGTGGAAGTGGTTCTGTTCGAGTCCAGTCCCAATGGAGATTATACTACTTACACGACTGGCTTGCAAGGACGGTTCTCCAAAGCAGGAGCCACTATCAGCGCGGAGGGGGAGATCGTTCAAGTACGTGTAAAGTGTCTTTTTTTTTTTTTTTTCTTACGGGGGAATGACAAGCAGCAGTCCCGAGTAACACTACCGGGACCCGGGGTGTAATTTCACCAAGCTGCCCTTCGTAAAACTTTTTCCACGGGGGCTGGGGGGTTGACAAGAGTTGTATATAGTGTGTATGTGTGTGTGTGTATATGTGTGTGTATGCAGGCAGTGTGAGGATGGTACTAAGCTTGCAAGCATATGCGGTCACAAGATGGCTCCTATCTTGTGGAATTCATTCACAGGGAAAACATGCTCTTGCAGGTTATTTTGTTGATGTCTGGCGATCACTCCTCACTGTTAACTGCCCTCATCTTGAAACGCACACTTTAGAGAACGGGTTTCCTTAAAAAAAAAAAAAAAAAAAGAAGTGATAAACCGTCCACCGCTTCCAAGAAGTTTGTAAACTTTTTTTTTTTCCTCTTTACCGGAGCAAGCTTTACACGTTTTACAAGAGCAACAAGGCTGCGACTACTACTACTTGGGCTTTAGTTTTGTCTGTTTATCCGCTCCAGCGGCGACTTTTGGTCAAATAGCGACTTTTACATCCGAAAAAAGTTGGTTTTAATAGCGGAATATGTTTGTTTTTATTGACCGTAGCAGCGTGTAAACTCACCCACACGTCCCGCCGCCTGTAGCCTGTTACTATGTAGCCGTCATCAACGCCGCCTTTGAAGTTGCATGTTCTTGGTTTAGGCCAACTAGCAACTATTTTAAGGCTTTTGAAAAATGAATATAAAGAATGAATGAATGATTGGTCATCATAGAAGCACCCCTTCATCTCATGTTCCCAGCTTCTTCTTTTTTTTTCCCTGCCCCCCACCCCCCTCCAAAACATGACAAGTGCACTTGGCTGGAGCTGGGTTAACCTCGGATCAACCGGCCAACTTTGTGTTGAGTAGAAGTCATTAAAATATGAAGCTTTTTCCTCAGTGCCAAGTGTTTATTTGAAATTTTAAGCTGCTTGGCCACTGTTTGTAAGGCAGCAAATAGTTTTGGGGTGTAGTCATGTGCCGGAGAGTTGATGTTTCATGTTTTCATTTCCTGACCTCTAACATATTCATTTGAATTTGCATCCTTTTGAAAAAATTTAATGTGAAATCGGTTGAGATGAACTTTGTGATCAGCAGATGAAAGTTAAGGTGTCACTCCATGAACAAATCTTTCGCAAGCCCCAGCAGAAATGATGGTTGAAGGGTTTTTTTTTCATCTTTTCTATGAATGCCAGTAGCTGCTGAAGTGTGGCCTCGGCCTGAAGAAACTATTCAGCTCCATGAGATCATTGGTTTGTGTTGGGAGGACAGGTTTCAATGCAGCCTGTGCTGAGAAGAGTTGAGGGGTGGGGTGGGCTGCGAATACACATTTTTGAGTTTAATCACCACGTTGCATTGAGTAGTGCACAAGAAACCTTGATTGTGACATAGCATTTTATCTGCACTCTAGCACGAGCCGTCATATGCAGCACCTCAGTTGCACATTACTGATACTGACCTGACACAGCTGGTAGCATCCCCCATCCACCCCTCGCCACTCTGCAACAATGGCTGCATCCGCCACCGCACAGCAGCATCGTTCCAGTGCATGACTGCATTTTTTTTTTTTGTTCTCCCTAAAAACTCTTTACTTTGAAAGGAAGATGATATGTGGGGATCAAATTAGGGGATACTCAGCACAAAAATGGCCCCTGTTTATACACAGTGATGGCCATTTGGCGCCACTTGGTAACCACACAGAAACGTCGGACCTCAGCTTTACATCGAAAACCACATCTATTTAGGTTTGCTTTCTTTGCTAACATAGCTTTCTGACCACTTAGAGGCAGCTTATATTTTGTCAGGCTGTAATGAGGGGCAGTTTGTCCAGCACAGTGTACTGTCTTGAATTCCTTACAGTATGTATTCTACCAAAGATTTATGAAAGCTGAAACTGACAACGAATGACATCCATACAACCTGAAGAGTATAATTTTGAGATGGTATCAAATTCCCCACTTGCAGGTTCTATACTTGTGAAATAACATCGCAGTAACGTGTTGGGAAATTGCTGCGGTGTTGTAACGGATATAATTTTACTCTGGAATCGGGTTGAAGACAAATATTTAGGTTCTCGTGCATTCAGGCGTCCACATTGACCTCTGCCACCATTGCACTTGACTACTTTTTGCTTTAAAGGTCTGAGCCTCCTCGTGCACAGTGAATAGGCTGCTTGATTTGGTCTGCCTGAGGTTTTAAGGGGCCTTCTAGTTCTCTCTGCAGTTTGTACAGAGCCCTGAGGGGTTTGCGTTACCTTGTGTGTGTACAGTAGTGACCAGACCTCAGCAGGTATGGGTTCAAATACAGGGGAAAGGGGGGGCTTGGCAGTGTTCCTGAGCAAAGACCCGACCACAGCCTCTGCTCATACACTCTCAACTCGCCTTTGCTAATTCCCTAAAGCTAACACCCGCTCAGCTCTGCCTGAAGAGTGCGAAAAGTGGCACACGTTGCTGGGGCCAAAAATAATAAATTAAGTTAATTTGCTTCTCACTCTGCTGTAAGGGGGGGGGGGGGCTGACGCTGACGATGCAGATTTGGCCACAGTGCCAAGCCCCGGGCTTCTCAAGCCAGTTTCTGTGATTGCTCCAGTTTGACTATGTAATAGCAAAGTAATCAATGTGTCTTTAAATCATCCTGTCAAGAAATTAGACATCAACACACATTTCCCTGGGACGACCTTGAGAGAATATTTACAGCATCAGCTGTTAACTCTGATTCTTGGTGGCCAGAGGACTGCAGGCTGCCCATCCTGTCAGGTGGTTAATTGTATTCACCCCTTGTCCCAGATTTAAATACTTCCTGATTACATTACGCTAATGAAAATGTCCCGCTAAAATGGAAAGGCAGCAGCGCTTTAGGCCCAAAGCCCAAAAGCCTGATTCAGAGCACCTGCAGTGAACAACTCAGTGCTGTGATTTCATATCTTACACAGTTTAGAAATGATGATAGTCTTCTGATACCTGTCCACATATTAGCAGCAGTTTTGACTTGAGTTGAGCCTGTTAAGCGGGGCAGTGATGGTATGACCAAATCACCCCCCCCCAACTGAGACTCCCAGGTGTGAACAGGGACAGTGGTGTGGGTTGACAAAGCCAGCGGATGCTTAACGGGCTGAAAGCGCTCTGCCTCCAGATGAACTGATAATGTAATTCCAGGAATAGCCTCACTGTGCCGTCAGCTCCGTCTGTGACTGACTGCCCGTCACCGTATTTTTCACAATTGACATCATCGTTGACGGCGCTCGCACAGCCCTCCCGATTAGAACGCGTGTGATGCGAGAGGAGAGACGCCATCTGCTGTTCATCATTCTCTGTTATCTCCCAGACGCCAAATTGTCTTTCCTGTAGCGAGATGAGCTGCGATGCACTGCACGAGTGCACATCTGCCTCTGATTTCCAGCGGGCCCGTGCTGTCAGCATGTGAGTGAGGAGCTGAGGCAGGGACGTGGCAGGGGCACCGCGAGGACCAGATGGAACTCATAGTGTCGTCGGCCAGAACCAGAGGGAATAATGTGGCTTTCTCCTACTTCCTCTCCGAAGGGACACAGAGCATCCTCTGAATCCAGCGTCAGGAAGAAGAGGCTATAGTTTCCCCAACACCCACGAGCTGTTTCACCTTTGAACTTCATCTCCATGTGCATGAAGTGCCAGTAACTATAGCTGGGAGACTTCATGATGTGGTTCTTTGAAAGTGGCAGTTTTTTTTTTCTCTGAATGGATGTGCAGGGGGAAAGTGGTGGTTTTGAGCTAAGACAACGATGAGCTTAAATACTGGAGCTCCTACCTTGGAGCTGGCAGGAGTTGTGTCGCTCTGCATTTAGACTATAATGAGAGCTTTAGTGGTTTAAGGCATCCAGCGCGCTTTCTCACCACAGGCTGGAAACCCCAAGAGGCCATAATGGGCCGGTCCCAGACGGGAGGTGCCAGGGATCGGGCCACTCCCAGCGCCAAAGCAACAGTAGCAGTACACAAACGCTGGTTTAAAAGGTTAAAAGTGCTGCTCCCTACTTTTTTCCATTTATTGGCTTGGCGGTTGCAGCTGTATTTTAAGTGCTATCGTCTCTTAACCGCCACCCTGTTTCACTTTCATGTCCCAGCCAAAGTAATTTGAGGCTGCGTTTCTCCCCTTTTCGGAATAGAACAGACTAAACTGTTTTTCTCTTTCTCTTGCTTAACACCCCACTCCCACACACGCGCTCTCACCCCTCACCACCAGTCTGCTCTTTCTTGATGCAGCCAAAATTTGCCATGCGTTCCATGTTGCATGAGAACGACTTGGAGTGATGATTACAACTATTTCTTAACCAGCATGCAGTGGAATGTCACTTTGGCTGTGTCGGTGGTTTCTGGCAAGCTTTATCGCATTTTGTCCCCCCCGCCCCACCCCACCCTGTCAACCTGCTAATAATATAATGAAAATATAAAATAATAAATAATAAAATCCTGTAAATATAAATGTATATAAATGGTTTAGTATTCCACTTTTAGCCCTTCACTGAAAACACTGAGAGTCTGCAGTGAGTGTGCAGGTGTATGTCAGTCTTAAAGCGCCTAACTTCCTCTTGGATATCTTAGTACTTGTCCAGACTTCTTTTAATTGGCCAACACTGTCTCCCAAACCAGTGGCCCCTGTTTCCTCTCCTGCCCCTGGCTCTTTTACTCTGTCTTCTCCTCTCTGTGTCTTTTCTCTCTGAGCCTCTCATTCCCGCTCACTGCACAGCTCCACCTGGAACAAGTGCATGTTGGTACTGGTGGCCCCAGTAGCTATGTGAGTTTCCAGTGGGCTGAGTGGCTGAGCCGATCTTTGATGTTCCACTCCAGGAGAGATTAGCAGTCAGCGCTGATGCTCGCTGCTGCTGCTGCTGCTGCTGCTGCTGCTGCTGCTGCTGCTGCCGCTCTCTCTCTCTCCAGTATCCAGGTCTCTCCCAGGGGAACCCTATTC